GATCATACATCCTGACCAAGTCGGATTTATTCCAGGGATGCAAGGATGGTTCAACATACATAAGCCAATAAATGTAATACACTATATTAACAGAGTCAAGGAGAAAAACCATATGATCCTCTCAATAGATACAGAAAAAGCATTTGACAAAATTCAAAAAAGCATTTGAAAATTCAACACCCATTCATGATAAAAAAAAACCTGCAAAAAATTGGAATAGATGGTCTATATCTCAACTTAATAAAGGTTATCTATGAAAAACCATCAGCCAACATCATATTAAATGGACAAAAAGTGAAAACCTTCATGTTGAAATCAGGAACAGGATAAGGATACCCACTATTACCACTCCTCTTTGATATAGTTCTGGAAACATTAGCCATAGCAATTAGACAAGAGAAAGAAATTAAAGCAATAAAGATAGGAAAGGAAGAAGTTAAATGGTCATTATTTGCTGATGATATGATACTCTACATTGAAGACTCAAAAAACTTCTAGACTTAATTGACACTTTTAGCAGAATAGTAGCTGGATACAATGTCAACACCCAAAAATCAATAGCCTTCTTGTACACAAATAACAGACTCACTGAGAGAGAAATTAGTGAAACAATTCCTTTCACAATGGCATCCCCAAAAAATGAAGTATCTAGGAATCATTCTAACAAAAGAAGCAAAAGACCTCTACACTGAAAACTACAGCACTATGAAAAAAGAGATAGAGAGGATATAAGAAAATGCAAAAAACCCATTTAAAGGAAAATAGATTTATTTGGGCTCAGTGTCAGAGGTTCCAGTCCATGGTCATAGCTCCACTTTTTCTGGGCCTGTAATTAGGCAAAGCATCATGCAGAGAGGGTGTAGCATAGCATAGTTGTTGCCAGGGACAAGATGCAGTCTCCACAGTCATGCCCCCATGAGCCACTGACTTTAGTTGGGTCCCACCCCCTACATGTCCATTGTCTCCCAATAATCCCACAAAATTATCAAGTCCACCATTGAATTAATCTACTCCTGAAGTAAGAATCCTCATGATCTAGTCACTTTCCAAGAGCTACACCTCTGAACACATGAGTCTTTGTAAAGACATTTTAAATCCAAACTACAACAAGTAGTTTATTGTTAGTATAGAGAAATGCTACTGATTTTTGTGTATTGAATTTGTACCTAGCAACTATACGAAATTTACTTATTCCAACAATCTTTTTGATGGAGTCTTTTGGGTATACAAAATCATTTTTCCTGCAGACAGAGAACCTTTAACTTCTTTTAAAAAGCGATCACCCAATATTTCTTCTTGTTTCCTAGTTTCTCAGTGTTGGACTTACAGTATTTTCTTGTCATGAGACTTATTCCAGATCCAGAAAGAAAAGTTTTCCATTTTCATCATTGAATATGATAGCTGTGGATTTTTAATATATAATCTTTGAAAAATTCAGATAATCTCTTTCAGTTCCTAGTTTACTGAGTATTTTTACAATGAAAAGATGATGAATTTTGTCAAGTGATTTTTTTGAGGGGGTACTGTGGTTCAAACTCGGGACATTGCACTTGTGAGGCTGGCGGTGGAATTCAAATGATTTTCTGATCTTATGATTTTTCTCTTTCATTCTGTTAATGTGGTGTATCAAAGTTAGTGATTTATGTATGTTGAGCTATCATTACCTCCCAGGCATAACTTCAATTTGGTCATGGTGCATAATCTTTTCAATATCCTGTTGAATTCAATTTGCTAATATTTTTTGTTCATTTGTTTGGGTCTTGAACCCTCTGCCTTCATACTCAGATACATTCCAGGCTATTCCCCATCCTGAATTTTATTTTTTTTTCATTGAGTTTATTGGAACATTTTAGTATCAATATAGTTACATTCATCATTAGGATCTTGTACCCTTACATGATGTATCTTGGTTCTTATTTTTTGCCCATTCCCTGCCCTCCCTTCACAACCTCCACTATTTCCTATTTACAAAGACTTTGTTTCCCTGTTTTTACTTTCCTCATATTTTTTTCTTCCTGAATTTTATTTTGAGTCAGGGTCTTGAGAAGTCACTAAGATGCCCAGGCTAGATTTGAAATTATGGTCTTTCTGCCTCAGTTTCTCAAAGTGCTGGGATTATAAGTGATTGCCACCATGCCTAGAGAATTTGCTAGCATTTTATTGATGCGACCCCTTTAATCTTTCAACTAGGATAATTTTTCCTCTTCCTTAGTGTCTGTACTGCTTGTCCCAGAGAAAATGTTAGCATAGCATGGTCATACCTGAAGTAGTCACTTTTTTTCATCTTTGTATATATGTATTTTCTTTTTTTTGGTACCAGAAATTGAGCTCAGGACCTCACACTTGTGAGACAGGTGGAGGAACCACTGAGCTAAATCCCCAGACCTTTGTGTTTTTGGGTTTTCTTTTTGATACTTGGATTTCCACCACAAAATCTACTATGTACTTGTGGGCTCAAATTTTAGAAAGGAATATTGGTATTGAACCAAAGTATAAAATCAAGTTTTCTTGTGGCCTTTGTGTTTCAAAACAATGGAAAAACTCATCAGAGATAAAAAATACTAGAGAATAAGCAACATAAAAGGAACTGAGTTTTCCCCCATCCTCTCAATTTTCCATCCACAAATGAGGGAATTATTCTATTACGTTTAATGAAGAGAAAAAAATTGAAAGAAGAGATGAGGTTGTAGTTTTGATGAGTCCCTGTGAGAGAATTCTGTACCTTCTTCATGGCATGTAAGTGGCAAATTTTTTCAAATAGGGTGTGTTTGGTAACAGATAAGGTGTGGGCCACATCACAGATAGAGGCAAAGGATTGTGAAGATCCTGGAACAGATCATGGCTTACTGTGTCTTAAGAAAGCTTTCCAAAGACTTATGACACCCTAGAATGTTGGAGAAGCATCAAAACCATCATTTCAACTCCGGAGTAGCACAAAAGATGCAGGGAAATCTGCCAGATTCAAAGTTACCTTGAGGGCAGGAACAAGGGATCACTAAGTGACAAATTTCCTTGACTGATGACAAATTAGTTGGATGGATGGACATGTCATTAGGTCATCAATCAAATTTCACCATTTCTTTTTTTTATTGATTTTTTGGTACATTTTAGGTATACAGTACAGTTACATTATTACAGTTACAGTTACATTATTGGGATCGTGTACCTTTACATGACAGGCCTTGGTTCTCATTTTTTCCCTTTGTTCCTGCCCTCCCTTCACCCCCTCCTCCCCTTCCCATTTACAAACACTTTATTTCCATTTTTTCATTTTCTCATATTTTTTTCTTTTCCCTTATTCCCTTTCCCCTACCCTTCCCAATTTCCCTACACCTTTAGCCCTTTTCTTCCTGTTTCACATGGTCAATTATCCCATTAGGATCTTATGTACTATTATAGTTTTTCACACCAGAGAAACTATTCAGTATTTACACATGTGTGACTTATTTCACTTAGGAATATATTCTCAATATATATCAATTTTCCTATGAATGAATCTAATTTCTCTTTCCAAAAGAATTAAAAGAATCATACCGCAGTGATATATGCACACCTATGTTTATAGCAGCACAGTTTGTAGTAACTAAAACTTGGAGACAGCCCATTTTCCCATCAGTTGGAAACTGGATAAAGGAGATGTGGTTTTTCTATAAAATGGAGTACTACTCAGCCATAAAGAATGAGAAATTAGATTCATCATTTCTTTTTTTAAAAGTCACAGAATGAATCATACATTATCATATTTTATTGTCAGTACATTCAAGAGGCACTTACTTCACTTTGTAAAACCATGTTGTACTCCCATGTTTGATGCTTCCCTTTCAACTATATTGAAATAATCGGGGAGGAGAAACAGAAAAGGATGTCCCCAGGAATCCTGTTGCACCTTTTATAATTTGAGATCTCAGAAGAGCAGAACACACCGAATGCTGAAACAAAGTTTTGATAATAAAATAACAGAATAGCCTGGGGAACCACTATTTCAGGAAACACTTAAACACCGTATCACCAACTCTACCTTCATCCTAATTCATCTGTATTTTAATATTATCATCTGAGCAGGGTATGAATCAGAATCCAACAGTGACCATAAGAGGAAGGCTTCAGGTTTAAGCACAATTCCCTCTGGCTGCATGAACACAAAAACAAACAAACATTCCACTGAAGATTTTTATGAGGAGAATCTTGCTTAAATTAAAGTGATAAAGAAAAAAACCATGTTTTCCCCCAGTTCTTTTCCTTTTGCCATGTGTTCACTGCCTACTGGATGCCTTCCTCTACACTTCATTATCTTTCTAAAATTATGACCGGGGTTTTGGATCTTTGTCCTGATTTAAATGGGCTGACATGCTAGGTCAAATGTAACAAAGAATAACAGGGTAAATTTTAAACATATAAATATGAAAGCAACTGCTAAGCAATTTAAGAATGCCAATAAAGTGGATGCAAGAACTTGGCATCAGATGAGAAGATCAAAGTACTCATTACAGTTGTGTTTATTTATTTATTTGTTTGTTTGTTTTTGGTACCAGGGATCAAAATCAGGATCTTGTGCTTGCAAGGCAGGTGGCAGAATGACTGAGCTAAATCCCTGGCCCCAGTGTTTATTTTTTAAATGCTGCTTGTTCTTTAGAGTATCTCCAGAACTTATATTACTTGCAAGCAATGTACCATCACTTTTATATGCTTTGAAAGAACATATAAATAGAGTAACATTTATTGTGTGGATGATCTCTCTCTGGAAGTTCTCTAGCAGAAGTAATCTGACCATCTTTCAGAAATGATGTACAAAGAATTTGTTCCATTTTTCCCAAGATTTTTTGATTTCAGAAATGTCAAGTCATTTTTTATAATTTTTCCAACAACAAAAATAATAATTGACCAATATGAATTACAACTCTTAGTGTTATGCCAAATTCTTGAATATCTCTCCAAAATAGGTCGAATGGTCCTTTTTTAAAGAGTGACTTACAAGTATGAACATTTGTTATATTCCTGATTATGGTCATTAAAAATATGGTGAAGCATCTAAAAGATATCAGAGGTACAACTATGTATTTCTGACAAACACATTGGGAAGTGTGGAAACAAACACATTGGGAGCATTTTTTCTATGTTTCTATCAAACCAAATGATCATCAAACAAAAACTCATGTTTTTCCAGCATGGTACATTTCAAAGGCTTTGTGGATTTGGCTAAAAGGCAGCTGATGAGTTATTATTGGATCTATATTAATCTTAATTTGCAGGTAATCAGTCACTATTTGAGGAATGCAACCTCTGGTTTTATAATCTGCAAAACAAAAAAGCTATGTGAGAAATATCAAACTGATCAAAAGTTTTGAAAAAAATTAAGCAAGTCGTGGAGAACAGCATAGAATTCTCTGAGAATTTGTCATTGAACACGAAAGACAATTTATTTGTGTCTCAGAAGCTACTGAGTGCTGTGGCTACTATAAATAATTCTTTGGGAGGGACCAAAATAGTTGAGTAGTACGTGGCTGCAAAATACTTCCTCTCTGAGACCCAGAATCTAGGCAATGGAACTTAACACTTAACAAGAGAAGAAAAAAAAAAAAGTAGATCTCCAGGAATTGGAAGACAATTTGCAGAAAAGTTACAAACTACAGAGAAGGTGGAGACATGGAGCAGAAACACAGAGAAAAAAAATGAAACTGGAAGCTCACCTTGGCTCCCAAAAAAGGAAGCTGTGTCCACAGAAGCAAGGTAAGCCCTGAGTGTCAGGAGCTCAAGGGAGAAACAATGGACCAGGCCAGCAGCATTAGCTCCAAGAAAAGCCTTTAGCAAGGGAGGGCAGGGACAAGGGGAAAAAATGAGAACCAAGACCTGTCATGTAAAGGTACAAGATCCCAGTAATGAATGTACTGTATACCTAAAATGTACCAATAAGCTAAATGGAAGCGGGGAGAAAAGCCTTTGGCTATTATAAACTGCAAAAACAGCATGCCATTTTAAACAAAAATGATTCCTTCCATACTGCAGGCTACTGTTGGAGAAAGAATTCAGTACAGTGTCCACCATATTGCTAGAGGATGTTTAATCAGGCACCATTTCTGGAAGGGGTTGATTATTTAAGGCTGAGCCACAGAAAAACTACAAAACAACTTCACTTCAGGATTCCCAGAGTTATTCTCCAACTCACAGTGACTGGGTGAGAGTTAACCACAGGAAACAGTCACAAACATGGAGTGGGATAGACACAGACCCCACAAAAACTTTAAGCTAAGGCTTGGAAGGGCATAGCACAATCCCTCACCCGCCCCTCATGGTGAGAAGCCCGCTTGGCATGTGACTTTCAGAAGTGGCTGGATCTGAAAGTACTGGCATTAAATACAACTATCTGCTTGGCTCTTGGCCTGCTGCCCACACTGAGCACAGATCTGAGGGTCTGACTGTGCTCCCCACGTATCGAAATAAGCAAGAATATGCTTCAGTTTGGATGGTTACCATGGCCTCAGATGAACAGACAGAGGGGTCTCCTTTTCTATGGTTATGGGTAGTACATTATTGATCCTTATGGTATACCAGTATCCAATTTGTCTTTGATGCTACTGTTGTTGCTGGTTTAGGTTCTGTTGTCAGGGTGGCACACTTGTTGCTATTAATATGCTTGTTTTGTGTGCACATATTTGGATTGCCTTTGTGTCATTAAAAATACCACAGTCTATTCCCGAAGAGCTGGGTGAGGAATCAATTACACTGCATCTCCCTCTTGAAAATTAGTGGAGATGGTCAGATCTTAGGACAGAGAAAGAGGCCTATTGTTAGCCATGCCTGGAGGGCATCACCAAAATTCAGATGTGAGCTAAAGGGATTTTCTCACTAGCAACACAGTCTTTTCACTATAGTCAATGTACAAGCTTTATCATACTTGCACATGCACACACACACACACACACAGCACAAACATAAGAACATGGAAAGACAAGTCAAAAATCCCTCCCAAAACTATAAACTCTACCAAATCTAATCCTTGAAGCATCAAGAAGGAGGAAGTAAAAATTCACAGGCCTGAATTAATTAAAATGATTAAAGAGGACATTAATAACTAATTGATGGCATGACTGGTAAACTCGAAGAAGATAAAGTAGACAATGAACTTAATATCAGCAATGTAGCAGATTTCAAAATCAACACACAAAAATCATGGTGTTCCTGGTCACCAGTAATGAATTCACTGAGAAAAAAAATAAGAAAACAATAACATTCAAACCCAGCATCAAGAAAAATTAATTACTTAGAAATTAACATAACAGAGGACATGAATGACCTCTACAACAAAAACTACAGTACTTTGAAAAAGGAGATTGAAGCGGACATCAGGAAATGAAATTATCCCCTCTTCCTGGATAGGCAGACCAGTATTGTCAAAATGGCCACATTGTTATATATATGTATTGCAATCATTATCAAAATACCAATAGCATGTTTCACAGGACTGCAGAAAGTAATTCTAATTCATTTAGATGAAGAAAAGCAAAAGCAATTCTGGGTAACAAGAGCAAAGAGGAGGCATTGCAATCCTCATCTTCAAGCTATACTACAAAGCAACAGTGATTAAAAATAATATGGTATTTTTCCCCATTCCCCTCCCCTTCCTTCAACTCCACCACCTCTCCCTATTTACTAACACTTTGTTTTCATTTTTTCCTTTTCCTTCTTTCCTTTCCCCACCCCTCTCACTTCCCCTGCAAGGGAATGGGGAGAAAATAAGAACCAAGATATATCATGTAAAGGTACAAATTTCCAATGATGAATGTTGTCATATTGTATACCGAAAATGAATCAATAAATTTAATGAATTAAAAAAAGAACGACATGGTATTGGAACAAAAACAGACATGCGGGTCAATGGAACAGAATAAAGGATGCAGAAACAACTCCAGGCACATTCAGCCATTTAAGCTTTGACAAAGAGGCCACAATCATATGCTAGAGGGAAGATATGGAAACATACATGATCACTAATGGTGCTGGGAAAATTGGCTATCCACATGCAGACAATTGAATTTAGATTATGTTTCTCACCACATACTAAATTAAAACTAAAATGTTTCAAAGAACTAAATGTCAAAACAGAAACACTTAGGGTGAAAGGAGGGCAGGGAAAAGGGGAAAAAATGAGAACCAAGACGTGTCATATAAAGGTACAAGAGCCCAATAATGAATGTAACTGTACTGTATACCTAAAATGTACCAATAAACTCAGTGAGGAAAAAATCAAAATATGTAGAAAGAAGTTGGCCATTCAAACTACTCAACTGATTTCTTTGAGATCAACTTCCAGTGGCCAGCAGTATTCAAAAATATAGAGAATAAAGCTTGGACAGCATTAAAAAAAAAACAGACACACTTAATCTATTGGAAGATAAACAAGGTAAAGCTCTTGAAGATATAGTTGTAGCAAAGTTTCTCTACGAAACCCTAACTGCTCAAGAAATAATACCAAGGATCAACAAGTGGATCCTATAATATTAAAATCTTCTGCACAGAAAAGGAAAAAACCAACACAGTGAAGAGACAACCTACAGAAGGGGAAAAGGTTTTTGACAGCTACTCCTATGACAGAGGATTAATATCTCAAATATATGAACTAAAAAAAAAACTTGATTAACCCAACTAAAAGAGCCAAACATTCAAAAATAGGCAATTTAAACAAATAGACAATTCTCAGAAGAAGTACTAATGGCCAGTAAATATGTGAAAAAATGTTCAGTGTCTCTAGCCTTACAAGAACACTGAGATTCTACCTTACTCTAGAAAGAATGGTTATCATCAAATAAGTAACAATGAATTCTAGCAAAGCTATGGCGAAAAAAGGAATCCTTCCACATTGTTTGTGGGAATGTAAGCTAGTACAACCACTATGGAAATTAGAATGGATATTCCTCAAAAAGCTAAAAGTAGAAAACCTACTTGACTAAGCTATTTCCTTCTTCACATTTTGCCAAAAGAATTGAAAATATTGTACTACAGTATCATATGCATACTCATGTTTATAACAACACAAATAATAATAGCTAAATATTCAAGTAGCCTATATTCTATCTACACATGAATGGATAAAGACTACGTGGTGTTATACACAATAGAATAGTACTCAACCATAAGAAGAATGAATTTGAGTCATCTGTGGAAAAATGAATAGACCTCGAGACCATAGTGAAATAAATCAGACAAAAAGCTTCTATATCAGCTAGTTTCCCTTATCCAAAACATAAATAATTAAAGAGTCAAATAAAAGGAAGTAGGGAGACAGATCTTTTGTGAATTAGAGGGGACCAAGAGATGGAGGGAGGTGCTCTAGAGGTTAGAGAGCAGAAGGGGATGAAAAAAAGAATTAAGATGTGTTACACACATATACCAACTCTCTAAGAGGAATGTATTCATTGTGTGCTCAAAACCCGTACCAAAAATAATAAAATGTTTTTTAAAAGTAAAATTTCAACATTTAATAAAAAAACACTTTTATCAAGAACAACTTTGGAGGAAAATTGGATTAACATTCAGGTTACTGAGTTGACAAAATGACCCTTTAACCAAGTCAACTCACCTTCTCAGCTTACCATTGCACAACCATTTCTTCCTTTTTCTATTCATAGATAAGGAAGTGGCAAGGGAACTTACCACCACATGAATGGATAAACACTGGAGTGTTAGTTCACTAAAAAAGCGCTCTTCTGCCAAATCACCAGTGTAATGCATACAACTATGTAAAAGTCTTTACTAATAAAATATAACAAACTGAATCCACTGGTGTAGAACCAAAGTTGAATGAATGATGCCAATCTCTGGGAGCACTGCAAATCCACTTTTACATGAGAAAAATACATTTGAACTACCAAACACCATTTGCACAATGTCCCATCTCCATAGAGAAGGAATCTTAGTATAACTTTATCATATTTCTGTTTCTCCAAAGGAAAGAGCTTTGTCTTCCATGTTTCTGCCAGGTTGAAAAATATTTCATGAAAGCAATTCACTGGGTCTTCTGTTCACCTACTTACCTCCTAAACATATTCCCTCAGTGCTTTTCCAGAAGCAAACATCGTTGCATGAAGGGAAATCTGAGAGTGTAGTGGAGCCAGTCCAATAACCAGACAGACACCATAGCTTGGATGGCAGCTGTTCCAAGCAGCAATCTAAAAATTACAATAATGATCATAAGCATATCCCCATATATAGATACAAACTATCCCCATATATAGATAGAAACATACATAGATAGGGTGAAGTCCCTAGATTTTGAAACATTGTATGAAATGCTACTTCACCTTAGGCTTCTCATCAGACTCTGCAATTTGTGTTACTTAGGCAAGTGACTTAACCTCCCTTTTGCTTAGGTTTTTATAAAAAATGCTACCTACTCTTTGCTAAGTGTGTTAAATTCTTTATCATTTTAAAAATACTTAGAATACTCTCTGGCACATGGTAGCATATTAAATAAAATTACCCACTGCCTCAAGACAACACTTCCCATTGATTGCAAGAACTTTTCATTTGCCATGCTTATCTTTCCAATTCATTTCTATTAACATAAAAGGAGCAGATACATGTGGATGAAACTTTGTTTAAAACATTCAACTTTCTAGGAATTTACAGCATTTAATATCTATTTTGCCGTCTTCTCTGGTTCATCTCCGTTTTTTCTTTTCCCTTTCCTCCATTCTACCTGTTCACCTCCACCTTATCACCTACTTCCCTCTCATTGACTTTTGTTAGTTTTTGACCAGGTACATTAGGCACACACTTACACGTACTGACCGTCTACATTCTTCTCTTTAAACCATGGGACCTAAAAGAATGGTCCCAGGGGCCAGGGATTTGGCTCAGTGGTTCTGCCCCCTGCCTTGCCAGTGGAAGGGCCTGAGCTCGATACCTGGCACAAAAAACAAACAAACAAAAAAAGTCCCTATTCCACTCATTCTTGTATCCCTAGAACTTAACACATTGATACATAGGAGTTTGACAAATATTTTTCAAATGAGTGAATCATTCTGTTGGAGAACACAAATAAAAGTGAACCCTACAATGTTCACATCCATGAATAAAACACGTAGATCTAATGAAAGAGGTAAGAAGAGAGAAAAAGGAATATTGGCATCATGTCTTTTTTGCATATTCAAACTTTGTATACCATAATAACATATCCCTAAGTATATATTGCCTTTATTTTCAAAATGAACGCTTTAGAGTAAATTTACATTCTACTTTTTATTTCCAGGCGAGTCTCTGCTTATGTGTATGAGGCTATTTGATTGGTACACATTCTGACAGCAGCACCCCTCACTGTGCTCCCAGACCACGGACCACGGTACCAGTGTTTCCGATAACTTCAAAGGCAAAGTCCACACCACCACCTGTCATTTCCTTCACCACCTCCTGGACAGGTTTCTTGAGGTTCCGTGGGTTGAGACAGTCAGTGACTCCTAGTGCTCTTGCCGGGGGAAACTTCTTCTCATTGATGTCAACCCCGATGATCCTAGAAGCACGAGAGTCTTTGCAGCCCATGACAACAGCTAAGCCGACTCCTCCAAGTCCAAAATCCACGCAGGTGGAACCTGGGGTGACCTGAAAGTTCATGCACCTTGCTTGAGTTAGGATTCAAAGATAGGCATGTGCATAATTAAGAAAACAAACAAGCAAGCAAAACCAACCACTGAACCATTACACACATATTCACAAGTTGAACAATTTGGACAGCTTTGGCCTGCTTTATATGGGTTTTTTTCCCTCAGAACAATTGCTATTATAAATGCTAACAGGAGAGTACCTTCCTCACCTTGGTGGAATTCACGGCAGCCCCGTAGCCTGTGGGAACTCCACAGCTTAGGAGACGAACTTTATCCAAAGGAGCAGCCGCATCAATTTTTGTCACTGCGATCTCAGGTACAATGGTGTATTCAGCGAACGTGCTCGTGCGGAAAGAATGATAAATGGTTTCTCCTCTGCAGGTAAATCTGCTGGTTCCATCCAGCATCACCCCAGAACTGGGCAAGATACTGAATCACAATGATGTAGGCACAGGTACCGGTTCAGGCACAGATGCATGGAATTGTAAAGAGAGAAGTGAAGACTGTCAGCTGCAGAAATGCTTGTACAACGCAGCCATTTAGTAAAAGCAAGGGTTAAAACTACTAACTCTTGTTTCTGACAGAAGTTTCCTTCCAGGTGCAAACAGGCACGGCATTCTCTACACTGTGGAATAATGAGTGTGAAAACTGTATCTCCTATACAAAAAAAAGCGAAACAATAATAGTTCAAAAATATTAATGTCATAAAGTGCAATAGTGTGTTTACAAAAATCTCCGAAGCTTTTGCAAGCTTGCTGCGGACAGCTGATGGCACCCATAGTTATTTTGAATTAGAAGCCATTTTACCTGAATTCTCTCAATATTCTTTTGGACAAATGGTAAGAATTTGGGAATATTCCCTGCTGGATTGGTAGTTGTAAGCCTGCTATTCCCTAATCCAAAAATAGAATAATAAAATCAATGATGAACCTGGGAGATAAACTGTCTAGTTTAACCCTTTTGCTGTCCATTTGAAAGATTTAGTCTTACACTGGTCATCACCTGCAGAGTTCTGTGCATTGAGTCCCTCTGCCCTACTACGGCACACTGGCACACAGTAGGGATTGAACTCCAGCCCTTGTGCTTGTGAAACAGTTAGCGGAATCACCGAGCCAAATCCTGGCCCTCAAACATGGTTTCTTAAGTTTCTGAGTTTTGTTATGCCTTAGAGAATAATGGGAATTTCTCTCTCTCTCTCTCTCTCTCTCTCTCTCTCTCTCTCTCTCTCTCTCTCCCTCTCCCTTGCCAATAGAGTAGCAGGTTGGATTGGGTCAGGTAAGAAAATTACTTACTGTGGACTTCTGAAGAACTGGTTACTGGCCTGGAATACTGTCTATATCAGTTCTTAGAAAAGTTTATCACACAGAACAACTCCTTCATATGACATTAAAAATTATTTTAAGTTTAGATAAAGTGTGTTTTACCTGCACTGATCCTAAAGATTTCCAAAGATACTGGGTCCCAGATTCACGAATTCTACTGTCTCTGCTTTTCCTTTAAAGGCTCATTATCATTTTGCATAAAACTCCCACTGAAAGTTTTCTAGCTAAAGAGGAGTTAGACATCTATGCAATTCCCTTATGTATTTGGAGATGCAGACCAGGCCTTTTTACTTCATCCCTCCCACTGTGCCTAATGTTAGATGCATGGTAGGCATTTCATAATTATGTTCTGATGAATGGACTGATTGTGGCTTCACAAATGAAGTGATTGTGGCTTCACACACTTTCTTATATCTCTTCATGTAGTGGGCACCAAGCTATGGGGTTTCCATATCTCCTTAATCTACATGGCTGCTCTTATTCACTGTGATCATTTCAGGCATGCTAAAATTACCAGTGTCAATGTCCTCTTTCGTCTGAGGGAGGGAAACAATGTAACTGCTTTCTTATCAGTTCTCTGAAATGTCATTGCCATTCTAGAAACTAAAATTCAAGCTGTACGGTTTAGTTCAGTAGAACATTAACTCATTTGTCAAATGTTCAGTGTGTTCCAACCTTGGGACAGGCACTGTGCTAACCATTCTGGGGACAAAAGTTGGTATATATATATATGAGATGGCAATGATGTGACCCTTGGAGTCACTGGATGGATTTGACATCATGATACCTCATTAGAAGAATCTAGAGGCAAACCCATGATATGTGATTAGTTAGAATAACATAGAACAAATCGATTTACTTGCTGGTAAGTATATCAATGTCTGTAAAGGAGGAGCTCTTCCATTTGCTGTTATGGGAAAATTCCTTTTTTTTTCCTCCCTTCCCTACCTGGTTTCACAGAGCGTACTTCTTCACCAACACTCCACAATCCCAGCTCCTTCATGGCCTGGAATTAAAGGAAAGTTTGCTGGAATGTCTCCTTTGAGGATGTAATCATCAGAGCCACAGATCCCCGAGGATATCATCTGCATAGGAATTAAATGATCAAGGCTTAATTGGCTTGAGGTTTTTCTCTTTTTTTAAATCTGAGACTAAATATTGATTTTTTACACAAATTGTCTCACTTCATCTCTATAACATCACTCAAGGGAACACAGGGCAGATCTTCTAACCCTCAAATTAGAGATGAGTGAAGGGAGGCCGAAAGACATGGAGTAACTTACCCAAAGTCACACGGGTCATGTTCAGACCAGGTATGGTGATAACCTTAGTCTTTTCATATCAAATGTAAATACCATGTTGTGTGGAGTTCTGAAATAAGGTTATTCTCATACAATAAAGGGCTGTTTGGGGAAAAGCATCAATAGCACCACCATTAAGAAATACAGACTTTTAGTTCTAATATCATGAGGCATTTGTCTAATGCTTTGAGTAAGTTGATTTTCAGAAATTTAAACTTGTACATTGAAAATATTCTTTAAATTAATATTGTAAAACAAGTTTCAGTAGGTTAACTATCACAAAATTTAATTATCATTGGTAAGTTTGAAAACTCAGTTAATATCCAGTTTTGTTGACTGTGATAGGCCACCCAATTACATTGCATCATAAAAAATGAAAGGTTTCATGTTCCATAGCCTATATACAACTGCTCTGCCTGGAAAAGCATAATCATTAGTTTTCCATATCTGTAGGCTAAGGCACAGAATTTTATAGCTAGAATACTGGAATGGCTATGGTATGATTGTAGCAAATGGGTAAAAACATGCTTAATAGCAAATATGTATGATTTTGGTTCTCACTGTATTAAAATGGCTTCAAGATGCTATCAAAACCTAGAAGTGTTCTTTTAAATATTTAGTAAGCTAAAACATCTGCAAATCTATTGGTTTTGTTCTCTTCCTCAAAAAAGAGCTGTCCATAGGATAAGTTAGGAGAGTGACTTTCTGCCCCAATCAGCAACTCCAGTCCTAGACCTTGATTTGACTGAGGCTTTGGGGTGAAACTGCTCAGGTTCTTGGGGATTCAACCTCCACATTGATGGGCTATTCTGCATTTTTTTTCCTCCTAGTGTCTTCTGAATTCCCTTCACTCTTTCTTGTTTTTATTCTTGTAACAACCCTCCTACATCTTCTCTTCCTTTGAACTAAAATATATAGCTTTTTGTTTTTGTCATGTCCCTTGAATTATGTTGAATTTCCTGGAATTTCTTTAAAGTATAGATGTATGTAGATTTCATGTTTTTGTTTTAATATTTAGATCTTTGATCCATTTTATTTTAGCTTAGGGTATGGTGAGAGACATGGGTCTAGTTTTAGTCTTCAGGATGTTGAAAGCAAGTTTTTCCAGCACTGTTGAATAAAGAGGCTGTGTTTCTTCCAGGGAATATGTTTGGCCCCTGTGTCAAAGATAAGGTGGGTGAATGTGTATTTGTGCTGCTGAAGCAAGAACAAAGTGGTTGAATGTGTTTGGGGTTATTTCTGCATCTTCTAGTCTGTTCCATTGATGCACAGGTCTGGTTTTGTTTTGTTTTGGTTTTGGTTTTCTGTTTTTGCCAGTACCATGTTGTTTTTATCACAGAAACTCTGCAATATAATTTAAAGTCAGGGATTGTGATGCTTCTTGTCTTACCTTTATTGCTCAGGATCATTTTTGCTATTTGAGGTCTCTTGATTTCAAATGAATTTTAGGAATGATTTCTCTAGCTCTGTGAGGTATGCTAATGGTATTTTGACTGAGATTGCATAAAATCTGTATAACAATTTTGGGAGTATGGCCATTTTCTTTTCTCTTCTTTTTCTTCTTTTTTTTTTTTTTTTTTTTTTTTTTTTTTTTTTTTT